GCTCCAGGCCAGCATGGACCTGTGCGAGGAGGCCGATGACAGCGAGCTTCACCGCTTCAAGGAGCTCCAGCAGAGAATGATCCAGATGGAGAGGGCAGATTTAGGCTACCTCACGCCTGAAATTCAGTCGCCACGCCATCTAAGAGCAGCAGGGGGCGACAGATCTCATCCCTTGTCCACCAGGAGGTAACTGAAATGGGGTTGAAAAGTTCACCAGATGACAGGCCATTGATTTAAAGTGGCAGACTGAACAAACGTGCTAACATGGCTAACGGTGACTGGAAGCAAGCCACCAGTTTCCATGATGTCATTTGTGTAATGTGTACTGGTGGCTGTTCACCTTCATTTATTATTAGCAACATTAGCTGTTTGTGACTGAACTGTTCTTTTAATCAGCAGGGGGAAGAAACTCTGGTGTTTTGAAGAGAATTGTTATAATGAAAATTACAATATGTTTTGTAACGGTTTTCTTATAGGACTCAAGAGATGGGAAGAATGTTCCCGGCGCTTCTTCCATCTGATGCGCAGTGCTGGAAGAGATCAGAGGAAAGGAGACTGGCAGCCATGAAAGAGTTGAAGGAAAAACAAGCCTTGTTAGAACAAAGAAGGAAGTAAGTTTGGAGGCTCTGCTTCATTTTAATGGAAAGCATCTATATGCTGGATAATGATTATGAGGAGTATGTTACACAAGAAAGGTTTCTTTGCTTTTCATCGCAAATTCAGGGTCATACAATACAAACTAAGTAGAATTGAGTCATGCTCTTAGCTCAGCAGCGTGACTGACAAATGAGAGCTGATTGCAGTCTAGTAGGGCGTTTACCTCAAGCCCTTGATGTATCTCACTCTGGCAGGCAGAGCTTTTAGCTAATAGCACAGATGCAGGGAGGGATTTGATCTTACGTGATGAATCTGATGCTGCAGTTTCAGAAAGCAGGGCTGTATAATGTCAAATGTGATGAGGTACAAGCAAGGGAAGGAGCAGCCTAGTGGTATGAAGTATGTAAAGAAATGTTGTAGCAACTTAAAAACTGCATTTCAAGTAGAGGTGGGCGATATGACAGAAATATAACATCATGATCCTTGCAGTAATTTTCATGATATTGGAACAGACAAAAAAGAACCAGCACAAGTGCCACATTTAAAAATACTATGAATACATGATTTATGTTCAAATTTCACATCCTGTGCTGCACTGATTCCAAATAAACAAATAATGCTCTCCTTGTAATGAAACATGCAGTTCGTCAGTGTTCTTTAAGTACTGACAAGATCCATGATATGCTTAGTAAAGCGTGTTATGTAATTTATCACAATAACAATAAATACTGTCATATTGCCCAGCCTTAATTGCAAGCCTCATAAATACATGAAAAACAAAAATGTAACACGTGTATATCCATATGCATTTAAATAACTGCACTATGCTTCTCACTTCTGGGATCTGTGTGCATGTCAGAGATGAGGAGCTGTTGCGGGAGTGGAGAAACCAGGCCAGAATCATGCAGGAGAGGAAGATACTGGAACAGAAGCAGGACAGGAGAGAGAGGCTGCAGAGAGACGAGGTAGAGCCACATTCTGCTATCTCCTCTAAAAGCCTCTACATGTCATTAGAGAAGGACATGCATCCCAATACATCAAACAGACAAGTGACTCTTCTCTCATAGCCCTGTATTTTTAGTACATGTAATAAAGAAGTTACTGCAGTGCCCCTTTTGTTGTTTTTTTAATAACCTCTGAGAAATATAATGTCGCAGCACTCATCCTCCAAGCTCAGACTCTCCCAGTCTCAGGCAGCCACAGGCCAAGCTAGCAAGAGCTCTCTCTGTCCCCAGTGAACAGAGTCAGTTCTCCTACAGCAGCCAATAACAGACCCCTGTCCAACTGGTAATCTCAGTCTCTCACACAGATGTACACAATGCTTCTGTAACAAAGAGAAACCCTTCATTTCAAGCCACAAAAACACATCGTCACAACATACACGATTGCACGTGGGCAGGCACTGAATAACCACTTGCATAAAACATCTTGAGTATTTGTCTTAAGTGCCTACGGGATACAAAGCTGTGAATTTAACATGGTAACTGTCAAAAACTGAAGTGCCAAAATTTAAAAAATTTAAACTAAAAAGATTTTTTTTTACTTTTCAATTAAAAGGTTCCCTGAAGAGATTTTATTAAGCTCACTTAAGCTAAAGGTAAAACTTAGAGATGCCAAGATGTTTCATGTCAGTGACCACTGAACCTAAAACTGAACTGTCAACTTCAACTTATTTACTTATAAACCTGAAAAAAAAATGTAAACAAAATCAGGCTTTTGCCGTTAGCTGTAGGGTCCTGCATGAGTTTATGCCTTTGCTATTAACTGTCGAACAGAGAACAATGTTGGTAATTTCAATTGCAGGATTCTTGAACTTTCCTGTATTGGATGTGAATCGAGTGAGGTGATCTTGGAATAAGATGATACCTTGTTACCAGATTTTTTCATCTGCTACCCTTTGCTACAACCCTCCTCAAGCAAACTAACTTAAGTTTGTTAACTGCCAGTGAACGAGCTCACTAGTTAGCACTTTGGGTATTTTATGGGCTATACCATTTTCAGTTTTATTTAATTTAATATTCCCTTCCTGTTATCCTTCCTTCATATTTTTTTTTTTGGTGTCCAATAACACACAGATGAAAAAGGTCAAATCCCACATTGCTTGATTGATTTGCCATTTATGATAAATGTCTAGCCAGAAAACTAAACTTTATCAAATGTTATCAGTGTTCTCATGATGTGTTGGCCAAATTCCAACATCACTGTTTGCCCAATGGATTACAAACTCCTGCATTAGCCACTAACAGTGACTCCCGGATGAATGTCAGTTTACCTCCATAATCTGATGTCTCACACAGAGACAGTGCGGCTTCTGCCAAAGAAAAGATGTTGGGTGTCAGTGTATACCAGAGTGTCTGCTGTCATGGGGTTTGTTTACGTTGCCAATCACCATGCGGTCTGAAACGCCCACACAGCCCTGATCAAGCAGAGCAGTTTTATTAGCTTCAAACTCTATCTGAATTCTAGAATTGTGATCAATGATCAAGTCATGTGTGAGTTTTTTAATATTTGCAATTGAGTTGACAGCCCCTTCAATTATTAGCAGCCAAACCACATGTCAGAGGAAACATTATTACACAGAACCTCAATGGATTCTCACAGTTGTGGGCCATGTAGCCAAATTATTCCTTCTTTATGGTGTTGTATATAACATCCTGAATTCTACTGACATAATGATTCTTTTCTATCTCCAACTGTTTGTCTAGAATATCAAAAATACCCCATATAGTGCTGATGCCTCCTACAGTGAGAGAGACGGTGTTGAAGCCCTGTCCCACGAGTTACACAGTGATGCCCTGAACGCCCTACAGAGACCACAGAGGTCATCCAGTGACCACAAAGAAACAGACGAGGCCAGGTACACAAAGTTAATGGCTGTCCCTCGATGATTAAACAGAGATAAGAAAATGAGTTGAAACATACTGCCCTCTAGTGGTCAAGATTGTGAATTACAAATATGTTTGTATTGTCAGGTTGGTTCCCATTCAATTTGTCGTTTTATCGCTAAAAATAAATTTACCTGGAAATGAACTGAAATTAGCATATTCACGTAATGAAAGCATACATGACATAACATTGAATATTGAACTAAAAACTGTACATTCAGTAAAGAGTTTTCATCTGTTATGTGGTGTATGTCCTAAGAGCGGCGCGTGACCGAGATCTGGAGCAGCGCATCAGAAATCATGTTCAAATGATGCAAGAGAGACGCAGGAGGCCTCGAGGACCCCCTGGGGAGGAGGAGGCCCAGGCAGCGGCTCAGGAGATCGAGGAGGTGAGAACCACAGCTGGGATACATAGATCTGTGAGGTGTCTGATCAATTCTAATGTATGCAGAGAGGAAAAAAAGCACTGATAGGATTTATTAGTTAGAAGAAGAGCTGAGCAAAAAAAAGAAAATATGAACACTGGAATGTATGTGCATATGCATATAGAAATGCCTTTTTTCTATTATTTGAACCTCAAAATTGTGCATTGTTTTTGGTAATGATGACATTGTTTGGCAGTGGTGTGCATTTGAAGAGCTTCTTATTTTCTCTCTGTCAGGTAAAACAGTTGCAGCTGGAGCTTGCAGAAAGGAGACGGCAACGAGATCTGGAGTATCGATTCACCGCCTTCACTGGGGAGAGCTTTTCAGGATTGTACAATAAATAACAGGCCTCTAGCTCTCCTGCCACCTGGACAGGATTTAGTATTACATCACAAAGCAATCTGTTATTGTGGTATGTTTGGATTTGCGAATTTGAGTTTGAATTATGAAACTGTTTGCATATTGTCAATCGTCTATGACCCACTCAACATTCATAAAAGATGTTTTTCTATTTGACCACAGTGTGGCGCGTTTTCCATTATTATCCATGGTCCTCTCCAAGCCCAGGGAATAAAGCCATGCTTTAGGAGGCAGCCATTTTAAGATTGGGGCCTACTTAGGTTGTTAATGTTAAAACAACTTAGCATTTTCTTATGTGTGATCAAATGCACTGTTTAACCCTCTCAAGAGGAGAGATTAAAATCTGCTCTAGTCTTTCATGTTTCATGTATGAATGAGGTTATCTTGCCCCTACACATAACTAAAGTCGTGGCGTCTTTTACTAGGGGCAGGACAGTTCAGTAGCCAGCAACAATTTGTTAACTTTTGCGCTTTTAAGCCCTCACGACCTAATTTGTTGGTCTCTTCAACTCCCTATGCGTACATACCTGTTACGATTTTTATACAACTAATACAACTCTTTTAAAGTCATTTTAATTGTGCCCCCTGTTAATCCTATAATATAGTATAAGACTGTATGTTACACTAGTTGTTATATTGTCTATTATAAGCCACGTTAAAGTATATGTTGAAAGCCGTGCAGTGCTATCTTGTGGTCAAAATGCCTTGATGTCAATCACTGCGGGAAGTGGGACCCGCTTGCGAGTGGAAGCAGAGCAGCTCAAAGGCGGTGGGAACTGCACGGTGTAAACATGTGCAAAAAAATGCTGGGTGGAAATCGGGCTGCCAGAATGTGAATAGAAGCGGAGAGTCGGCGTTTTCACTTCTCTTCTCTCGCCTTTCTTTGTGATGTCACTGCTGCTGGATGTGCTGTAATTGCCCCGGTGGGGCTGATGGCGTCATTCCGTGCCCCTGTGTAGCCTCCCGTGCTTTGCTGGGAGAAGGGGAGCAGGAGCTGAGGCCGACGCGAGCGCCTCCGGCGGCCGAGATCGAGCAACGCCAAGCCGGACAAGCCGGACACCTCGACTCGGAGAGCATGGAGGCCGTGGCGGAGGAGCTGCGGGCCGGCTCCCGGATTCCGGTGACCATCGATCAAATAGTCAACGACACGCTGGTGGTGACGCTCACTTACCGGGAGAGGAACTACACGGGCATTTTGCTCGATTGCAACAAAAAGTGAGTTACGGTTTCTGGAGCAATGTTTTAAACGCTTGCAGCAGAAAAAAAAGCGCTAACGTTAGCTAGCATCGAAGGCCCAGTTGCTAGGCTAACTTGGCTAACGTTAGCCAGCAAGAAGAGGCCAGGCAGAGACAAGCAGGCCTTTCATTTATACAAAGCCAGAAGAGGATTCACAGATTACAAACGCATAATTTTGTAAGAACATACACGTACTGTGTGGACACCAGTATATCTGTGTATATCAACGAAAAATTTTATTTTTTATTTTGTCAGGACCGTTTTATCTTTCAAATAAGCACTGAGTACCTCCCAGCTAAGGTTTAGTGCTCTCCAGTTAGCCACTTATCCTTTCTACTGCAGAAAAATTGAGCCATATAACATTATTCTTATATTGAGATACTGTTTCTTGTGTCTGTGTACAAGTAGAATAATTTAAATAAATGCACACGAGGTCATTTGTATTGTAGTAAAATGTAATTATTCTCATGTGAAGGACAATCTCTCATTGTTGTAGCTTGTTGTTGCTAACAGAAATTGTTCTCAGTCAAAGGTGCTGGATTAATAACTTAGCCATGTTAGCAGTGCTATGGTTTATACAATTCGTTTGTTTTTTCCATTAATATCCTGGTGTTTTCCTTTTTTTAAACCGTCTTTTCGCAGGCAACATCCTTCTAGATACATATGTGTAGCAAGCTGCCTCTGGTCTCACCCACTTTCTTTCTTTTTATTAGACTATTAATCAAAAGCTTCTAGTTACATAACAGACAAGAAGTGTCCATTAGCAAATCATATCAGTGCTGTCAACAACGCAGGTTTACTTAGACGGTGCCATTACTTATGCATTATATTAAATTGGCTGAACTTGCTGTAAAGGCCTTTTTTCTTACAGACAAAGACAGGTGGGGTGTTACTGATCAAATCACTGTCATTGACATTTATTGAACTAGTTGTGAGAGATATCCAAGTAGACTGTATGATACAGGATGTTCTACAGTGTTCAGAATGGCTGTCACGCAGACTAGCTGTGTTACAGTTGAAGTACAGTGCATTTTAATAACCACTGTGTGTATTTATAGTGGTGCTACATAAGAATCTCACCAGCCTTTCACACACAGAGTCAACATAAGGGAAAGATGTTCAGTGCTTTTCCTTGAAAACTCTTATGAAGATTTAAAATACATTTGAAGGATAAAATAAAATAAAATGTCTTGTTTTCTACTATTAGAAGTATTAAATGTAGAGACGTCCAGGCATATTTTAATGGATTGGGCATCAGCTTAAATAAGCCTAAACGGATTGAAAGATTCCTAAAACTTGTTATTTCGCACATTAAACTAAACCACAGCAGTCCAACAACCAAAACTGTCCATCTGACAGTGGTCCTATTTTCAGTTGGTGACCACTGATAAAGGGCTACTGGACAGCAAAACTGCTAACTATGTTAAACACACTGAAAAGGCCAAGCAAGGATCATATAATCTTGATGCACACAGCCATGCTTTTTTGATCAGTTTTAATAAAAAACATTTATACATTAATATAGTTGAGACTATGTATGCTTTTGTGTGGTGGTATTATTCTTGACATATTGAGGTCGTATAAAGGTATTAGAAAGCGTTTAGATGCATTTGAAAAATTGTGCAGCAGCCCTGTCTCTAGGTGAAATGGTTTTTGTCTCATATTGCCTCAATTTTTCTGTGCTGGTAATCTGAAGTTGTCAGATGCTGGATTCTTTAAGTCTTAAAATACCCTATCATTTTGTCTTCCCCATTGTTATGTCATTATTTGTCATTTCCTGTATCTTGATAACTGATTGCAATGCCTTGTCTGTAACATGGTTGAGTGGTGCTGAGTCACTGGCCTTCAAGTGCTCTGCTTTCATAAGTGGCCAAGACTTATACTATTTGTGCAATTTCCTAGCACTACCCTCCTCTTTCTAGTTGGCATATGTTAACTTTCCTCAAATAACTTTGTTTATTCAGTACATAACAAATACAGTAGAATCCATCCCTGATGGCTTAACGCCTCATAAAAGCAGGAAACATAAGGTGAAAGCAGGTAGAGTAGCATATGGCCTATTTGTTTAGTCAAAGGCCTATAATAATTATACCAATTGCTGTTTATATCTAGAGACTCATAGGACAGGCTTCCCTCTTATCAAATTTCTCCAAGGGCTGTCTGTGCGGGAGGGGAGACTGTCTTATAGGGTTTAATTAATAATCCCCATACAATCAAATATCAAGCAGGGTGTGAAAACAACCAAATCTCCTGGCTCTCTCCCTGCATCCCTGGTGGTTGATGGGATTGTTTTTGTTCAGCGAGGGCGGGGGGAGTGTGTTCTGTGGCAGGCCTGTTGGCCTCTTTGTCTGCTGTCTCTGACAGAGCCTAGCCATGCAGTTTGCTACCTTGGCTACAGCCGCCCTTCAGTGACTATGACAAAATTGTCTGAGCTCCTGCCCTACGCATGTCAGTGCTGTGCTTCACAAAGATAGCACGTAAATTTAATTTTGGACTGCGGTAAAGCACATACACTTGAGGTCAGCCTTCTGTTTAACAAAGACAATGGTCTATTTTGTCATAGTTCCGTAAGCTTCATTCCTGTCCTCTGTAAAGACTCAGTGACTTTTGCAGGCATTAGTATAGAATTAAGAACTTCACTGTGAAATCATGTTTAAAATGAGATTTTCCTTTAGAGCACAGTTCTCACAATACAGTTTCATGGTCATACTAGTCATATTCATGGCCTTAGATGTGCCTAAAGATGAACTTGGTTCAGTTGCAGCTCATTGTGTGCTTTTAGACTTGCTCTGCCAGTGCTATCAAACCAAGATCAAAGTTGCCGGTGGTGGTGCTTTACCTGGAATTTCATTTCCAGGGAGCACCAAAATGGTCCCACTGCATTGCAAGCCAGTGCTTGAGAGTAGGTCATCACTGATGCCACACAAAGGAAGTTAAAAGCCCTGTAATTATTCCTAATAGCGCTGGCTCAAGCAGGAGAGCTCAGCATAAAGAAATTAGTGCTCATCTCTGCAAAGGCTAATGTGCATGTCTGAAAACATTTAAAAAATCTGTTTAATGTATTTAGCCGTAATGGCTAATCTGTGTCTAAATGGCTTCATGCTCATTTTCACTCGTCTGATGTTTCTTCAAAAACTATTCTGTGTCCTCATAGGCTTTCTTTTTTGCTCTGTGTAGGACTGGTTTGTTCTGCCTGCCAGATGTTGTAGGAAAGTCAGAGGAGCCATTCATATCCAAACAGGAGTGTGAAATCCTGAACGAGGAGCCGTGTTCCAAACCTCCCATTCAGTCAGCACAACGGCCAAAGGATGAGAACACAGAGCCTGAAAAGCCCCCTTGCACCCCTATTCCCATACCAGTGCTGCCAGGCCAGGCTACATACCCACCATATTTTGAGGGTGCTCCTTTTCCTCAGCCCTTGTGGGTGCGTCACACATACAGCCAGTGGGTGCCCCAGCCTCCGCCCAGGCCCATCAAAAGGAAAAAGAGGCGGTCTCGGGAGCCCGGGCGTATGACCATGAGCACCATTAGACTGCGACCTAGGCAGGTGCTGTGCGAGAAGTGCAAAAACACGCTAACCAGTGATGAGGACAGCAAAGACGGTTCCACGGTGGCCAAGCCGTCCAGGAAAGAAAACGCACCGCAGGGGGAGGAACATACCAAGGAAGCCCTGCCCAAAGGCCAAAAGAAAGAAGATGGCGACACTACAAAGGAATCCAAAAGGCGAGAGGACACGTCAGGCTATGAGAGCAAGAGGTTCAGAAAAGATAGGAAGGAGGAAGACAAGTTCCCAGGTAGTGACGTAGTGCCACACAGCCCAGTGATAAAGATCTCTTACAGCACTCCGCAAGGGAAAGGTGAGGTCATGAAAATCCCGTCCAGAGTGCATGGCTCAGTAAAACCATTCTGCCCAAAGCAGCTGATGCAGAATGGGGAGCACGACAGCAACCGTGAGCCCAAGAAAGATCTGCGACCCCCACTGGACTCAATTAGAACTGGCCTCACGGTGTCAATCCCCAAGCTTAAACTCCCAAAGCTTTCTGAACAGGACATCCCTTCACCCAAGATCCGGTTAAGGTCCCGTGGTGATGGAGAGGAGCGCGTGTCTGTGTATGAGGCTGAGTTAGTGGGGGACCCACGACGTAGGAGTCCCAGGGTTCCAGGACCGGCCTTGCCCAAGGACTCCACTGAGGAGAAGAACCCCCTGGAGCTGTGGTCAGGCAGCTCGGGAGAGGAAGGTGAGCGGCATGGTGACCTCACCCTGCTTATTAACTTCCGCAAGCGCAAGGCCGACTCCTCCAGCCTGTCTGTATGCAGCAGCGATAGCCTGGACGAGTCAAAGTCCTTCAGCTCGGATGGCACGTCACCCGAGCTGTGTGACTTGGCACCTGGTGATGTCTCGTCGTCCTCCTCAACGCGTGAGGGCCAAGGCAAGACTGTGCCGCCTCTGACGGTGCGCCTGCATACGCGCAGCATGAGCAAGTGCGTGACCGAGGAGGGCCATGCAGTGACCGTGGGAGATGTAGTATGGGGAAAGATCCACGGCTTCCCCTGGTGGCCGGCGCGTGTCCTAAGCATTAGTGGAAGCCGGAGGGATGAGGGCGAGGTGGATGCTCCCTGGCCTGAGGCCAAGGTGTCCTGGTTCGGCTCTCCCACCACCTCGCAGTTATCTGTGGCCAAGCTCTCACCCTTCCGTGAGTTCTTCAGACTGCGCTTCAACCGCAAGAAGAAAGGGATGTACCGCCGTGCCATCATTGAGGCGGCCAAAGCGGTGGGCCACATGAGCTCCGAGATTGCTTCCCTGCTCTCACACTGCGAGACATAGGTGAGATTTCTTTTTTTTTTTTTTCTTTAAACCAGTGACTCCCACCCCTGATCCTAGTGTACTCCTACCCTGCACATTTTGTTCTCTTTGCACACCTGATCTAAAAGAGCAGCTCATTAAAGTGGTGATTTGAAAAAAAAAATTGCATTGATCCTCATACTGTAAATGTGCATATTTGGGGTTCAAAGTTTTTAGTTTTTTTTTAGTTTTGTGTTAGATCTGTTTGCTCCAGCTAACAAATAATGAAAGCTAACAGCTGCCATTTTAGAGTTGTGCAAACTATATGCTTAAATCATCATCCACTTTACTTACAGAGTGTTGTTATAGACTTGCTTATTTGATTTCTGACACCATATGACATACTGTTGTATTTATAAAAATAGTCAAAAGTAAGTTGTACCTGTCTAAAGCAGTAATGGCAGCTATGCTGAAGCCTGAAAGTCTTTGCACGTTTGTCTAAGTGTTTGTGATTATTTAAAGGTGATGTAGCAATCTGGACTAACATGAACTCAGACTGTAAGTAACTACATGGTGGCAGGTGAGTGATTACTAAAAGAAGCCTGGCTCAGCCATTCAGTCAAGGGTTAGTGGTTAGTGTGTTTTTCTCACGAAATACTGCCGTTACAAATTTTGCCATGAGCATTTTTAGTGCTGCTTGCCAGCCCACACCACTGACTTGTTGTTAAATTCTGTCTGCTGGCGCACATGCAAGCGCCAGCATGTCAGAAATTGCTTTGTGGTGTTGGTCGTAGGTATTGGTATCCCCAGAGGTGATACCGATACTGCTTTTAAGTGACAGTATCGGCGCCAATACCAATATGGTAGCGGTGACTGTGCAGCAACAGGGCATTATGCTACAAAAGGCTAGTGTACAAAAGACTGATGTTACATCAGCTTACGATGGCAATTCACTCAGGAGGAACCTGAACCTGAGAGATGAATGCACTTAACATAATTCCCCAGTGCCGCTTTATGTAGTTTGATAAATAATAAATGAACCTGATAGCATAATGTTATCATAAGCTCTATATACTTAATAATAATAATAATAATAAATATTATTAGAATGTGTCTTATTACATAGCACCTTTCCAAAGCTCAAGGTTGCTTTACAGAGTATCTGAAAATAGGCCCACAAAAAAAGCAACTATGAAACACAAAAGTATCAGTATATGTACAGTAGTAACAAAAATAGCAAAGCAAAACAAATTTTCATAGATCATGTGGAAAAAAGCAATGTAAAGACAAAGACAATACAAATGAAAAAAATAAAATAAACAGGACAGAAATGAGAATACAACATAGAGCGTGGCTATGAAGTTGAGTTTTTGAAGTTTTTAGTTCAGTTTTAAAAGAGGAAATGCAGATGAGCAGTCACAAATGTGTCGGAGCAAGGAATTCCAGAGCTTAGGGGTCATAACACTAAAGGACCTGCAACCCCAAAAAGGGAGTCTAACCTAGAGGACAACTGACAGAGCCCAGAGCCAGAAGACCTGAGTTTATACCATGGGATATACAGATGAAAGAGCTAAGTTCACTATGGAGGTGCCAGACCATGTAGTGCCTTAAAAGTAATGAGTGACTTATATGCAATACGTGATAAAGTAAATGGGCAGCCAGTGTAACTGGTATAAGACAGCAGTGATATGTTCTGCAGGTTTGGTGTGGGCCAGTGTTTCAGCGTCTTTTAATGTGAGCAGGGGCGAACAGATCTCATTGTGTCGATTTGACAATATTATTAATTTACAAAAGATTTTTTTAGACAGCATTTGATTTTACATATAACATTCACAAAGCAGCTGGATTCATTCATACATAACCCCATCTTGTAAAATCTAGGAAACATTTCTGACATTTAATCTCATCGATTAAATGAGTCACTGCACTTCAATCAAACATGACAGGAAAACAAGAATTTTGTTTTTTAAATAGTATGATAAATCTTGCTTAATATGATCAGGGACACAAACTAGCCAGGTTAAAAAGGGCACTTTAATTTCAGGTTGACTTTCAAGCATTGAAACTCTAAAATGTGCAGGGCAGAAGTACTCTGTGGCTGGAAATCACTGCTTTAGACGTTCGTCCTCACCACACTGTTCTTATCTTCCTTTCATGCTTCGTTTTACTGATTACTATCAGACAGTTTCGTCTTCTAGCATTACAATGCCATAACCACTTTTTATTAAATACATAGAATTTGAATCCGTTTAAGTATGCCATAGAAATGTTTTATAACTTCATTCTTCTGTTTATGGGCCTGCTACTGTTGTGTTTGTCATGTTGCTAATATTCATTGAAGTCCAGAACCTGGTGATGTTAAATATAAGCTCACAGTAACGCTTTGTTCCCACTGTGGCTGTTTGGTCTGCAGTGTTTTTCCTCACACCATTTTTAGTTGGATCTTGAAAAGTATGTGGGCTTTGAGGGGGGGATGTCATTCTGCAATTTCAGCTGTTCAGGCAGATGATATCATAGAGTTCTTCCCCCTTACCCCCCACAATGTGCTGATGTTACTCATTTTTTTGGTTACGCTACCTCAGAGTGGAAAAGCTAGACAGGTCTGTTTAATACGGTGGAGCTAATATCAACATTGTGGGTCTGTGTTAGTAGCCATATATGGAAATATCAGACTTGCAGATGGTTTTGTATACAGATGATGTATTATAGCAGTATTATAACCACATAAAACTGCTCAGACATTAATATAAATATGCTAGAAAGTATTATACAAAATAACACATAAATATGCATTCACAATGAATGTTTATGTAGTGTATTTCCAGAATATGATAGTTAAACTGTCACTCTCAGAACAGAATCTCCAAAATGTAACTTTTTAGGAAAAGGAAAAGATTGATTAAAATGGTCTTACATGAACATGCATTCAATTTAAACAAAGTAATTTTGAACCATTTCTGTTGGTCCGTTTCTTGTGAAGTATTCACATTTGGTAAAGTAACAACTGGTGATTTCAGATAATCCAAAAAAAGAAAACCTGAAGAAAAAGAAAGACGTTACGAGGTATTAATATCAGTCATGATATATAAAACACTGTGAATACCATCCAAGCATCCTGTAAACTGCCCAGAGCCTGCTTGTTAACTGATTTTTGTGTTTTGTCTCAGGAGTGGAGGTCAAAGGCTGAAGCCTGGCTGGGATTCAGGAGCCCGCGCTCCCCTCCTGTGATTCCCTCCCGGGATGGAGAGCACTTGCGGTTGCCACGGATATTATGAGGGAAGGTGCTTTGTTTTTTTTTTCCTCTCTCTCTCCTCCTCCTCCTTCCCCTCCTCTAACCCAATCACCTGGAAGGAGAAAATGGCCTCCCTGCGTGGAGCTCTCTGAGCTTGAGGGAGTGAAAGGAGCAGGCAGGTACACCTGGGGAAACTCCACCTGTCTTTCTGTCTTACGTTATTTTTTTCTGTTTTAGTGGAATGAGTAGCTTGACACTAAATCCGAATGTATTTATTGCCAGCGAAGCACAGGCAAACCTCGCTACAGTCTCGTACGATCCCACTGCTGCTGTTTTCTGTGAGTGAAGGGTTCCTGCCTGTCAGTGGAGTGACTAGCTAATGAATTCACCATGGAGACCATCAGCCAGCCTGTTCTAGTGGCATTCTCCTCGTCCACTTGGGCAGGAAAAGAACAAAGTGCAAACTGACAAACACCCGTATGATACTAAATGACATGTCTTATTCTAAGGTCTCTTTCCTCTTTCTTTCAAAAGCTGAAAATGTGAAACTCCTTTTGTATTCTCTGCATCTAGAGATCGCTGTGTAGGTCTTAAAACATGCAGTACAGCATCATTCATAGTTATGTTCTCACCCGAAGAATGGATTTCTCTAAACGGTCCCTGTTCTCTTGAAGAAACGTAACTTCTCCATTTGTTTCCTTTATTTTCCACTTTTATTATGATATTGTTTCAATGTTCTTGGTCTGAGGGCCTTTTGGAACTGTGTCATGGACTGTTTGAGATCCACAGAGTTTCATATGTACTTGCTTTAATTATTTAATGTGTCATGTAAAGAAAAGCACTTTATCTGTACCTTCGGTGGCCTGCTGGACACTTGTAGATCGAGCACTAATTTAGAGGGTTTTTTTTTCTTTTTTTTCCTTTCTGGTTTTGAACAGCGGGCGACCTCTCTACAGCCCTCTGACTCTGACCACCACACCCGGCGCCTTGAAAGTGACTTTTTTTTCTATTATACTTGGACATGGACAAGAAAACGAGCCGCTTTCAGGAACTAGTTGTGTACACTGTATTATTGCATCTAGTCAGGTTTGTCAACCTACATTCATTCTCCTGTCCGCCTCCGCCGCCACCACCTCCCTCCTCATAAAAACTTTCCACTGGAGAAATGGACGGAAGTGTAAACTCCTATGCATCACGTCTTTATTAAAGCTTTAAAAAAAAAAATACAAAAAAAGGCACCGTGCTGGAAGGGTACTATGAATTTAACACCAGTGTCCTCTGTTGAGCAGCAAGCAGGATTGAAATAGCTGCTCTGCTGTGTGATATTGCTGCAGGTTTGTTCACTTGTTTTTATTTTTTTTTATTATTATTATTATTTCTTAAAAGTGCAGTCAGAAGAGAGTCACCCTAGTCAGCAATTGACCTTTAGGGCCTTGAAAATTTAAAGAGGCACTTCTGTGGTGTGAGGGAGTGAGCGAGGGAGGGAGGGAGGAAAGGAGGTGGGGGAAGGGGAGCCAAACCCAAGCAGAGGTGTATTTTAAGCTCACTTCTAAGCGCAAAGCCTCTCACCACTGCCTTTCAGTGGTACATTCTCTTCCTTTTTATGGATTACATGTTTTTTTCCCCCATCTCCTTCCCAACATGTTTTTGACGGAGGACAGACCGTAGGGCTGGGATGAAGCATTGCGTGTGTGCGTGTGTATGTGTAGGTGTGTCTGAGTGCGTGTGTGTGCGCCAGTACAACAACTTGTGGTTACTGTCCTCTGATCAGTGGACTTTTTTACATGGTGTACATAAAATAAAATATACAAGCAATACACTTGCTTGCTGGCTTGTTCTTTACCAGTTGGGAAAGCATCCTGTATTTGTCCCTTATAAATTAACTGACAGACTCAAATGCAAGTTTTCTGTCGATTATCTGAAGTTTTCTGAATAATTTAGTTGTTGAGATGTAAACAAAGTCCTTCAGGGTGGTTTGATGTGAAATGGTGCATAGCAGAGAACAGTGTTGTTGATGGGAACCAGTGGTCATGATGTCTCCAACACAAATATAGCCATTTTAGCTAGTATCTGAAATGACCAGTGAACCTACACGTGTCTCCTGAGCCTATATAATGTTGATTTTTAAAAGTTTTCTTTGGTGACTGTTTTGCCTGAACATCCTGCGTGTACCTGCTATGAATGTACTTAATGTTAGACCAAAAGCTTATTTCAAAACTGTTGTAGCATAATGTCTCGGGCATCAGGCAGCATATTTCGTTCAGTAACTTTTATATGTAGCTTTAAGAGGCATTAAATGCTTAAAATGTCTGATTACTCTCACCACTGCTGTAAACAATTCTCAGGTGGTAAATTTTGCTGGAACGGTGCATTCAACATCAATCCACTCTGAATGACTGTTTACATCTTAAAGCAACACTATGTAGGAAGTATGTAATTGCACGCAATGTATGGAAGAACATTTTGTAATGTCGGTTGTGCTGCAGATCCCAACAATCAGGTGCATCTGACTTTTATGAGTGTGTTGAAAGAGTATCCGAAGAGAACTCAGCCAAAACTTGAAGGGCCTGTTTTCCAAGGATGTGAGTGATCTGCTGTCATCATATTCATTAATATAATGCTGATTTTGTATTTGAGACCTAAACATCAGGCCAGACCTTCTTTTTGAGCCTGTGCGTGTGACGTCAATAGGTAAAGACATGACAATATGAAGCTATGGCGTGTTCCAGTACCTTTGACTTTTAAATGGTTATCATAGGCTTTACAGGGTGACACGCAGTTTTAACTAAAAATATTACATAGTACTGATTTAACCCTTTTAATAAGATATTTTGAAAAATTGGTGGAATTCCCATTTAAGGACCTCCATCAGACATCAGTAGTAATATTCCACAAACTTACGGTCTTTCTTGAACAGCTACAACGCAGTTAATATTTCCCCTCTTTAGGCTCATGTTGGACCTCTACAGTATGACGCTGCAATAGACAGTAGGGTCGTTGAGTTAACTTGACCCAGTCTGCTGCTTTTTTTTCTAAAGAGGTATTTTTAAAAATCCAACCAGCCTTAAAATAACCCTTGGTCTCTCTTAGGGGCCATTAAACATTTGCTTGCATGACCTTCTTTGGTCAAATTTAGCCTTTATGTATTTCAGTATATTATTCTGTGCTTGTGTGTGTATGAGAGAGAGAGAGAGAGAGAGAGAAGGTGGAAAAACCTACCAACAGATTTGTTGCCACAAAGACTGTCTTTTTCCTGCAAATTCTCAGTAGTAGTTGATTTAAAATAATGTACTAGGGCTGGTACCACATGTTAATTCATCAATAGTGACCATTATTTTATTAACTTTTTTCATCAGTGAATGAGTACTTTTACACATGACATGATTGGGGTTTTGTTTGGGTTTTTTCCCCTCTTTGTGTTTGTAAAACTTTGCATGTAAGGAAAACTCTTTTAGATATACCGAATATAAATAGTATATATCAATATTCATTGATTTGAATTATTGACATTTCAAAATTCTTTTTGTCCCAGCCCTAGAATTTACTTCTCTCAGTGAAGACACTGAAAGAAACTCATTTCAACACCACAGTGATAATATAGTTGCTGCAAAGAGTGAGCTTTTGAATAGCTATGAGACAATCTGCATATCACTGCTCTTGTAACAAAATCTTGTAGGTCCATTTTTTAGTTTTTGACATGGTTTGAAAATGTCTGTTGCCCTTTACATTATGTGTAAATTTCATGATGAATGGACCAAAAGAAACAGCCCAAAATTACTTGGAAAGTCATCTGGCTCCATTGACTTACATTAAAGATAAAGTATGTTTTTTCCTTCTCCTGTGAAGTTGCTAATTTGGAGATACAAGGTTTTGTTCTGACGCCAGTGATATTCAGAAAAGACATATAGGTCTGCCTTTTCTAATCACTGTTCAATCAAGCTAATATGTTTCACATTTCCCAGGTAGGTACCAGGTCTAATGCTTCACTCCATGTGTAATTCATGTAAACAGTTTTATTGCCCACCACACCTCTAGCTTGAGGAAAGAGGAATGCAGTTTTGCTACATTTTCTGAGCACCTCTTTCAGCATTTGCGGTTCGACACCAAAATAAGCACATAGCTATTTCACAATCAGAAATGCTGATATGCTACGATTTTTCTCCCCACTCAGACAGTTTGTCATTAACATTTGACATAGATGTTGAAGCATTTTGCTGTCAAAATCTTTCTGGGTCATTGTCTGAATAATTTCCCTCATCTTAGTGTATGTAACCAACATGAAAGCAATCATTATTTTCCGGTGTTTTTGTTCAGGAGCCACCAGACCATGGCCTGAACTTGCTGGTGCCTTCAGGACTGGTAGTTGAGGTTGCATAAGCGGCAGGTCTGAGATTGGCTTTCCGCTCAGCGATGAGGATGAACGAAACCTGACACTGAGAGTCTGTCCCTCAGCCCTGAGAGCCCTGGGACAGTACTATGAGCCCCATCTCCCCCTGCTGAGGGCCTGGGCCATCTGCTGTGTGGAATAGCTGGGGGGGAAGGACTTATTAAATCAAGGTTAATGTTCATCTCCCAAGCCTGCTCTCTCTCTCTCTCTCTCTCCTCCCAGGTGCCACTCTCTTTCCTCTGAGTGCACCTTTCCCACTGTTGATACATAAACACCTTCTGCCAAAGACACACCCGTCAGACCCTGTGGCTCACCATGCGCTCCCTGGCACTGGGACTGGCACTCAGCCGGGTGTGTACACCACAAGTTAGGTCTCATAACCACACATACGTGCACTTAGAGACAGTCTCTGGAACAGTGCACGCCAACCGTTTTTCTGCTGCCTACACATTTCTATCAAAAGAAAGTGCCTCCCAACTCGTTTTGAAGGAATAGTTCAGCAAAATATCAAATGTATGAAATTTTCTCCTTACCTGTATATAGTCCATCAGCCAAGACATGTTTGGTGTTTGAAGTTTGTTGCATTAGTACTGCACTGGAGCTATAGGCTAATGCTGCTAAAGAAAACGTGGATGATTCTGCCATTGGGGTATATGATTTGGTAACAGCATTGTACTTTCTAAGTGAACTTACAAGTAAATATTGCAATGTAATTGAAAATAACGGTGTTAAGAAGATTCCTACTACACAAAAATAAGATTTTTGAAGTATTTTCATAATTATATTCCAGTATGAAGTGTAGTGGGCTGGAACAGGCAAAATGCTGTTTTCTAAGTGCTGTAGGTAAGATTAATGTTTGTCTCCTTTATGAAACATAGGTTGTTGTGAAGGGCACCTCATTTGTGAAATCACCCATATATATCAATTAGCATTTTGCAAACTGTGTTCTTAAATTATCACCTTGACTAATTTCAGGTAGATATGCTTATGTAGTTTCTGACACTTATCAACAAAAATGGATAAAATAATTAATTATATTTCGCATAGCTAAAAATATTAGCAGCCGCCGTCTTAAAGCCTGAATTTTGTCTGCTTTTGTCCATGGATAAAGAGAACAGTATGACAGTGTCAGAAACCACATGAGCAGGTCTATTTAAAGCACTATGTGGGCATGATTAGTTTTAAACGGAGAGCTAGCGTAATGGAATTTTATAATTGAGTGTCTGAACTGTTTGTGGCCAATTCACATGGGATAAGAAATCTCAGTATAAATGATGGATGGGAGTGGCTGTCTGATTTATGTACTGCCTTTACTCCAGAAATGAACAGAAAATGTTTTTTGTTAATGTTAATTTAGCTGTTTTTTTGTTTACCCTAACTGTCTGTCTTGCTGTCCTAAGTTAATGCAGTGCATCATTGGTATTGTATTTAGCTTGGGAATTCACAGCTAACTTTTATGTTTTAATGGTCTAAATTGTATGCTTGAGCAGGACAAATCAGCTTTATTTTAGCCACAGAGAACAGAAGTAAATGCTTCTTTGAGTCTTTCCATAGTTAAGAAACATGATAGCATTTTAACTGACATGTCGATTCGCACAAGATTAATGTAACCCAAGGTCATTTCTGTATACCTTTACCTTACCTTATCTTTTTATAGAAGGTAAAAGGTGCCTGAATCTTAATGACACGAAAGCATACAGTCCATAAAAATGACTGATAAGGCGGATGCAGAGGGGCCTAAAAACGCTGGTAAAATTTACATTGCCCCACATCCTCATATAAAAATAATTCCATCTGAATAGGGCCCAAGACTTAACAACTTGTTGCAGTTTTAGCCAAGTGTGTGATGATTTAGACATGCAGTTTACGTAATGCTAATTTGTGGGTATAAGCTTCAGCTTGTTAGCTACATTAGCCTTGTAGCTCAAAAAATACAGAAGCAATCTTCGAACATCATGCATGTCTTGACTCTTCAGCTTCATTTGGGAGGGGATAATTGTGCAAATTTGACTTTTTGCAGACTGTTGCTTTAAAATCCCTTCATGTGTTGGTGAGTCTTCGTAATCCACTGTTGCACAGATGTAAAAGTAGCCTACGGCTGAAGTACAGAGGCCAATTATTGCAAACACAACTGCATACAGGCAGCAGCTGTAACCAAGTATGATGTAATAATTGTATAAAATTTGATCTGTCCCTAAACTACTGCTTTAGTATCCCTTTGTGTGTATGTGCATTGTTGTGGACTGCTGTCACTATAGCAAGGACGTAAAAGCAGCGCATGGCTGGAGCGCTCAGGCCAGTTACTGCCAGCACGGCTACATACATGCAGCAGCTGTAATTAAGCATGATGAAGGCCAGGCCTGGCTGAACCCACAGCCTCACTAACTCCCCACCACAAAATGAAACACGTAGTAAAACAGAATAGCAGCT